CAGTGTAAGCCGGAGGCCACTGGAGAGATGAGAGCGTTTCGTGCACCTGAAGAACTCCAAGCTCGTTCATGTCTGTCGAACAGTCAGTTCCACGCTGCGGTGTAGTCAGTGACCACGCGACCGTGACGTTCGACCGGTTCTGGAAGCAGAGCCTCCCGATCCGGTCCATAGCGGGCCGGGTGCCGTTACGGATTGCTGTGACCTTTTCACCAAGGAAGAGGTGCTCGACGGAGATGGAAAGCCGACGTACTCCATGGGCCAGAAGCGTTAGAAGTGCTCCAAGAACTTCCTGGTTCAGAGGTATCATAGTGGCGTAGCTGAAACGGCTCTAGCTGCAGCAGGATCAAAACGGAGGAAGGTGAATACCGCTGTGGACCTCTCCGAGAACGGTCTGGTCCTGCCGCCGGGGAATGCAAGTATGGTCCTGTCGCCATAGTCTGCGTACACGGGGAATGCAAGGATGGTCCTGTCGCCGTACTCTCCCGTACACGGGGAATGCAAGTATGGTCCTGTCGCCATACTCTGTCGTACACGGGGAATGCAAGTATAGCCCGTGCGGCGTGCCCAATTGTTCTGGCGTGATGCACGCGGAGCACTGTACGGCCCATTGTAAGCCCATTGTAAGCCCATCTTTTTCAGAAAGTGGTTACTCTAGACTCCAAGCCAACAGCTGCGAAGAGACATGCTGTTCTTCGAGCTGGCCAATCCCTGAACTGGTGCTGACCTAAACGCCGCAACTCGAGGGGTCCGGGAGGGCCATCCCACCTGTGGTCCCGCCAGCTGATCGTTTTTGTAATTGCTGATTTTAGTAATGTTTCGGTGACCGCATAAAGTCGGTACACTGCTGTGATCAAAATCAGGCAGTCACGTACATGGACAAGTTCAAACTCCATGAAAAACCGAATTCACAACGTCTGCTATTGAGGCGAAAACTTCGTTACCTTAAACAGTGCAAAATTTGTATGATTTCCAACAGTCATTTGAGCATATAACACAATGAATAGTTTATGCATGGTCCATCTCATTTGAATCAAATTTCATTCGTCACAAGGCATGTAATGTGGAGCCTCTGACATGCTTCACTTCTCAAAGACTTGTGACTGTTGGACTACTTCGTGCATTGCTCAGATTCAACCAATGGAGACTAAAGCTTCCGGGCACAAAAATAAGAAAAATCCAGTAGCGCATATAAGTTTAACTTTATTTAGTCGGCATTCTTACGATCTATATACCCTGGTTGAGAAAATGTCTCACATGCCAGTCTCACTGGCCCCTCAGCACTTAAATCAGCCGCCATAAATCGTCACGGACATGACTTCTGTGATTGACATTCAAGTGCCATTACGTAACGCCATGCAATCGCCGCCGGTTGGACTTGAACAGCCAGTCACATGCCGCCGCGAGTCCCACGTGTTGGAATGCTCTGGGAGGGCTGGGGCCGGGCCGGACGGGCCGTGAGGCGGCCTGTCGCGGCCTGGATCAAAGCTGGCTGCTGACGCGAGCCAGGCCGCCCGCCGACTTTCTGGGTTAGGTTTCGTTTCTGGTCCGGACGGCGGGGCGGGCCGGCGGCGGGGGCGGAGCCCGTCCCGCTGCCGCCGCTGACATCGCCGGCTCGGCGGCGGTGGCCGTGCGGCGGCGCGCAGTCGCCACACCGCGGCCCGTGGTGGACTCAGGGATGGGACAGGTACGGGGCCCTCGCCGGCGGGTGTAACGCCGCAGCACAACCGGGAGAGGGCGCGTAGCGTCCGCGGTCGAGGGCACACCTCCCAGGTCGCCGCACACCGCGCGCCCGCGGTCCGTCCGTCGGGCCGCAGGGCCGCGGCGGAGCGGCACAGGCCGGCGGCGCCCGCTCCCGAGCAGCGGGGTCGCCGCCGGGCTGGGATCGATGTCCGCCCGGCGCCCGGCTGAAGGCCGGCCGGTCGCCGCTTCACTGTCAGTCCGGCAGCGGCGCCGCCAGCGCCGGGCCCCCGCCGCCCAGCTGACGCCTGAGGCTGTGGAGTTGCGCCCCGGCTGCCGCCGCTCCCGCCCCGCGCCCCGGGGCGCCGCCACGGCCACAGTCAGCTGCTCTACGGTCTGCAGTTCGATACGGGCCAGGCCCGCGGCGCAGACAGCGAGGCGCGGCCGCGAAAGGTCACCGCTCGTCGACAGCCCAGCGGCGCCGCTTTCCAGAAGCGCCCCAATAGAGCCCGCCCGACGGCGACCAGATTGTCTCTCGCAGGCAATCGGTGCCAAAATCGCGTCCGAATAGCGACAGTTAAAGCATTTGCATTCAAATGCAACGGCCCGCTTAGCTGAACGACACCAGTGCCAGTGCCGGCCGCTTGCGTTGGCTTTAGCCCAATCCGATCGTATGCTTCAGCCAACAGAGGGAGACAGCTGGGAGGGTGCGGTAGTGTAGTGGTTGGCGCGTCTGCGTTGACCACTGCGCGTCTGGGAAACCAGAGGTAAAGGGTTCGATTAACCGCGGTGCCCACCCTTCCTGCCAGGCTGAGAGGCAGGCGACGCCATATAGCCTCAGCAGGTGGGTGTGTCGTAAAGCCCCAATGACACACGGAGGCAGCTGGGACGACCATCATTCGCGCAGATTTGCCCGCATGAATGTGTTGGGAAGCAGAGAAAGAACCATTCCTGAACAAGGAACTTGGCTGGGACCATTCGGACCCAGTCAACTTGGCATGTGAACGGCGAGAAGCCAGTGATGAGATACACCATCACCTGCCCCGAGGCCTGACATACCTATCACCTGCCCCAGACCTGACACACCATCACTTGCCCCCAGACCTGACACACTTTCAAACTGCGCCCAGATCTGACCACACCACTACCTGCCCCTGACCCTGACACATCATCACCTGCCCTCAGATTGGCACCACCATCGCCTGTTCCCAGACATGACATACCGTCACCTGCCCCCCCCCCCGAGCAGGCAACACCACCACCTGGTCCCATATATGACACATCATCACCTGCCCCCCCCCCGAGCAGGCACACCACCACCTGGTCCCATATATGACACATCATCACCTGCCCCCCCCCCCCCGAGCAGGCACACCACCACCCTGGTCCCATATATGACACATCACCTGCCCCCCCCGAGCAGGCACAACCACCACCTGGTCCCATATATGACACAATCATCACCTGCCCCCCCCCCCGATAGGCACACACCACCCTGGTCCCATATATGACACATCATCACCTGCCCCCCCCCCCCGAGCAGGCACACCACCACCTGGTCCCATATATGACACCATCATCACCTGCCCCCCCCCCCCCGAGCAGCACACCACCACCTGGTCCCATATATGACACATCATCACCTGCCCCCCCCCCCCAGCAGGCACACCACCACCTGGTCCCATATATGACACATCATCACCTGCCCCCCCCCCCCGAGCAGGCACACACCACCTGGTCCCCTAATTACACATCATCACCCTGCCCCCCCCCGAGCAGGCAACCACCACCTGGTCCCATATATGACATCATCACCTGCCCCCCCCCCCCGAGCAGGCACACCACCACCTGGTCCCATATATGACACACCATCACCTGCCCTCAGATTTGGCACACCACCACCTGGTCCCATATATGACACATCATCACCTGCCCCCCCCCCCCGAGCAGGCACACCACCACCTGGTCCCATATATGACACATCATCACCTACCCACAGACCTGACACAATATCATCTGCCCCCAAATCTGACACACCACCATCTGCCCCCAGACCTGACACACTACCACCTGCCCCCAGACCTGACACACCGCCACCTACCCCTAGATCCGAAACACCGTCGCATGTCCCCAGATCTGGCGCGTCATTTCCTGCCCCCGGACCTGACACACCATTTGCCTGCCCTCAAACCTGACAAACCGGCACCCACCACCACAGCCGACACACCATTGCCTGTCCCTACAACTGACCGGTGTGCGATGCACATGACATCTTCAGGAAGAGTCTTAACTGTCGAAATCACCTCGCCTCCTAACGTAGATTGCCCCGAGTGGCCTAACTGTCCCATAAACCGCAATAGCATTCCATTTAGTGGCCAGCATGGCGACAGAAGACCTGCTGCCGTGCACTCGTCCCCAATTCAACAGGCGATCAAATCACACGGCTGGAGTCGGGCCAGAACTCTACGGAGCTTTAAATGCAATAACGCGCCTCGCATCTACCCCGTCAGTCGCATGCGCGCACGCACGCACGCACGTACACACACACACACACACACACACACACACACACACACACACACACACACACACACACACACACACACACACACACACACACACACACGAACGCACGCACGCACACACGCACGCACGCACGCACGCACGCACGCACGCACGCACGCACGTAGGCGCACCCACCCAAGACAGCAGGAAAGACTGACCACCAGCAGCAGAACCAGACCGCGTCCGGTCTCCAGCACTGAAAACGGTCGGCCCGACCCCGCCTGGGCGCGGCGCCGGGCCAGCCACCCACTGCTTCAGGGGCGTGTGTGCGGGAGCGGCGGGCCGCCGGCGGTGGGCGCACACGAGTCACTGGAGGACGGCCGGACGCCAGCGCCGGACGCTAACACGCCTACCGACAGACAGCCGCCGCCGGAGCAGCTCACCGACAGGCAGCCGCCGCCGGAGCAACTCACCGACAGACAGCCGCCGCCGGAGCAGCTCACCGACAGGCAGCCGCCGCCGGAGCAACTCACCGACAGGCAGCCGCCGCCGGAGCAGCTCACCGACAGACAGCCATCGCCGGAGCAGCTCACCGACAGGCAACCGCCGCCGGAGCAGCTCACCGACAGACAGCCGCCGCCGGAGCAACTCACCGACGGACAGCCATCGCCGGAGCAGCTCACCGACAGACACCCATCGCTGGAGCAGCTCACCGACAGGCAGCCGCCGCCGGAGCAGCTCACTGACCATGCACGGAGAGAGTAATGGGCAGTGAGGAGGTGGCTGGCCGCGCGTTGATGACGCTTGGGCTCACTCACCATGCACGGCGAGAGTAATGGGCAATGAAGAGGTGGCTGGCCGCGCGTTGATGACGCTTGGTGTGCAGATGACGATGTGCGGCACGCCGGCGCAGCCCGCTGACGTCGGCACGGTGATGAGGCGCGTCTTGCGCCGCACCTTGGCCGGGGGGCGCTCCGCCGGCTGCCGGCTGTCGCACGCACACCGCACATCACACAGGGCCTGGTCGCCGCCGATACGCCGCACGGCCACACACTCGCCTTACAGCTCAGGCCGGGCGCATGTTCAGCCAGGTCGTTGAAACCGCTCCAGAAACACGAGTTTCGTGGCATGATCACTGGGCACGGTGAAAGCTGGCTAAGCCTTCAGGCGGCTTTCGGGAAAAGGAGACGTTCAAAACACGCTTCGTATCGGCACGAATATTGAACGACGATATAGTGCATGTCACGGCACAACATGGCTGCTCCACTGGGCAAGTGATGCATTCGAATATCCCGAAGTAACCCCTATAATATCATACATTGCATCACACCTGGCTGTAGCTGGTATCGATCACGCACTGGTTACTGTAATCCCGCGCATAGCATGCACAACGCAGATGTACACCACTCTTTTACCTGCTGATGTCATGCCGTTCCTGCGATTGCTTGGAATGCCGTTGTGGCTGGTGTTGTTTGGACTGCCGTTGCTGCTGCTGATGCAACTGCTCCTGCTGATGTTGTTGCAGTTTTTGCCGCTGCTGCTGTCGTTGTTGTTGCTTCTGTTGACGCAGCAGCAGATGATGGTGTTGGTTCTGCGCCTGTTGGTGTCGCTGCTGCTGCGTCTGCTGCTGTTGCGCCTGCTCCTGCTGCTGTTGATGCTGCTGCTGCTGCTCCCGCTGCTCCCGCTGCTCCTTCTGCGCCTGCTGCTGCTGCTTCTGCTGCTGCTGCTCCTGTTGCTGTTGCTGCTGCTTCTGCGCATGCTGCTGCGCCTGCTGCCGCTGCTGGTGGTGTGGGGCCGGCTGCGTGGCGCCGCTGGTCGCCTGGAGCTGGACGGAGGTCGTACTGGCGCCCCACATGAGGTCCAGCGAAGAGAGCAGCGGGCTGTCGGCCGGCGGACTGACGGCGTCGCACGAGCTCAGCAGCGCCTCCATGGTCAGCGGGTCCTGGTCCGGGCCCTCCAGCTGTCGGCAGTGAGTGAGGCGCCCGTCAGCCGGCCACGCGCTCACCGGCACAGCTCAGGTCAGGTCAGGTCCGGTCAGGTCAGGTCACACTAGATCAGGCCAGGTCCGGCTGACAATGACACCAGGCTAGGCTGCGCTTGACACACCCGTGGCCCGCCGCAGAGCGCGGCCCACCATGAGCACCGCCCGCCACGGGCGTCTTCTCTCTGGGCGCCAGGAGCGGCACGCAACCGATCGTCAAAGCTCGCCGCCGCAGCCAGCCGCACTGAGTCTACTCTGCCGCTGCCGCCGCACTGAGTCTACTCTGCCGCTGCCGCCGCCGTGGACCCCGGCACCGGCGCTGATTACCGTTACGGCCTGATGTAACACGCCCCTCCCCCGCCCCACCCGAGCGGCGTGCGTTCAGCCGGCCGGGGATCAGCTGTCCACTGTTCAAGGTCACGTAACAGGACGCCCGGGCGGCGGCACTGGGTCACGAGGTCGTCCCCCCACCGTGAACCGGGGAGGTGGGAGGGCATCCAGGCACGACGCGTGACGGCCGTCCTGCCACGGTCTCCACAGAGCAGGCAACACCACGGCTCGAAACGACAGACGTTCGACATGAGGCAGGTGCACCAGGGATACGGCCATTCTGGTTTGAAGGTGGTAATTACCGAATGGTCATCGTGGCCAGAATACGACGTTCAATTGACAGGGTCCGCCAATAAACCTGAACACTGAGTTTTCCTCTCATTTCAGTCTCGACTACAGTAGGGTCACAACCATTCTATCTACCGAATGGAAGGTTTCCATTCCCATACATAAATACAGTTGAACGACCTCTCCCAAATGTCATAACTTGTAAACAAGGCTGTCTGTGCTCAGCCCATTCCAGATGAGCTGAGCAGCAGACCGCGGCTCGTCGGCCGCCCGTGCGACGGTGCTGGACGCGGGCCGGGCGGCTTCCAGTGCGGAGGGACGCTACCGCTGACGTGGCCCAGCCGCTGTCGGACGCGCCGCCGCCGCCGCCGCCGGACCACTTTAAGGGTCCAATTAGAGCGGCCGGCCTGATGAGGCGGGCAGCGCGCCGGCAGAGGTCAGCAGAGGTCAGCAGCCGATACCACGCTCCCCAGAGCGTCACCATAGGTCAAGCGGAATGTATCCCCAGTCAGCTGAGCGCCGTCCGTGGTGTTGGCATTGATCGCCATTTCAAGGTCGCCGTGCGGCAGCCATGAACCCGCTTCGAACTCCACGGACGACCTGGCGTTCAGCAAATCAAGCCGTCCCGTTGCATTCAGCGCCATGTTGAGAAGAGTGGGGTTCTTCGGCACGGTGACAACGGCCGGCTGGTTATTCAGCAGACGCAAGACTGGCGGCCGAGCCAGCCGTTTGACTGGAGAGGATGAGAGTAAGGAGACACGCAGAGCCCATCATGACTGGCCCGATGGAATTGTGCCCATCATGCCTGGTCCAATCATACCCCAGCTCGTCTCAGCAGCCGGCCGACGGCACCTCGACACACAGGCTCACATCCACGTCACATGTGTTCACACCTATTGCTCACATCAGACCTGGCAATGACTCGATACCCACCGAGCTGCTTAAACTTTAAATTGCACCTCTCCAGGCGACGTCCTTTACGTTACAGGACGATTAGTGAGATCATTACGAGCGATTATGACTGAGGCGTTGGGACGTTACACGCCCACCCATTACATATGTGTTGCGGTCTCTGTATGGCAACCGTTCAGACAGCGCCGTATTTGAAGGCGGACTATCATTACGTTCGGCACGCCATCCGTTCACCAAGGTAATTCGACTAATTGGTTGTCATTCGGCAGTGCAGCTGCAGGAATCGATAGCAGGCGGCTGCAGGACGCCCCGGACCTGGTTAACAAACCGCCTGTGAAGGCGGTCCACGTATCTAGCGCAACGCAATAAAATCAAATAACATCGCATTATTTGCGAGTGTCCTCTTCAGGGGAGTGTCCCACCTTTGGGGCATATTTCAAACACATTCTCTAGTGAAACCTCAGGTCCAAGTACGTCAAGATATCACTGGGCGGTGTCATTGCAGCACCGTCAAAACATTATAAGGAGATCCATTCTAATTATTTTAGAGTCCCAATATACGCTGTCAACTATTTGTAACGACACAACGCTTCTTCCCTGCAGTTGTCGCTTTCGTCGTTACCATGACAACCGTCGTGGGACTTCTGGAAAGAGTAAAACAACGTTTGTGTTGGCCTAGCGGGCGGCAAGGGACTGTTATCGAGGACCGCATTGGTTATAGTTGGAACCAGTGCGTCACTGTAGACTATGTGATACTCTCATTCCCACAGCCAAGGTGTGCCTTGAAAAAAGCCAAGGTGGTAAACGTCATACCGGAGGAATCAAAGCCATAGTGCACGTTTCGTTGAATTCGCGGGATAATGGTTTTACATTCGTATGTATGGTTGTGTAAACAGTGTTTGAAGCTTTCGTAGTATCTATTATGCAAACATTTTGACGAATTGATGTGCTGTAATGATTACAGAACACATACGTTGACGGACGGAAAGCAAAGAAAATGTATTACTTTCATAGTGGTGAGCAGGAAATCCAGTGTTAGGTGCAAAAGTGCTCTAAATAGCACTATTTGACTACTTAGTGTATATGATCCTCAAAACGTCATCGTTTGATTAAGCCATAAGACGTCCTTATGATGTGAGAGTCGATACCAAAGTCACCGCATCAAAGTTATCGCTGTAGCGGATAACATGACGCACTTGTGGTACCTATATGCGCCGAAAGGTGATGTTGCCTTTGAGTGCAGACTTAATGTACAATCGTTATGCGCGCGTGTTTTGGTATTTTTGCACGGTGTCCTGATATATTCTGCCGATATGCCACTTTTTTACTTGCATTTGCATTTTCGGTAACGACATAACTGCTTAGTTAGTCGGTTCTCAGCCTAGTGTCCGTCATATCTAATACACGTCTAAATGGCTGTGCTATTTGTGACGAAACGCGGCGCGTGGTCGAGATATACGCCCTAATGTGATCATTCTAGCTTCATCCTAAAACCTCGTGACACCACATTTCCCGGGACAAGTTGCATGGTCCAGCCATGAGTGGACTTCAGTGTTTCCTGGTGGGGGCCTCGTCATCACGCCGTGCAAAAACCGCAAGGAGCGCGGGCTTACTCTCGGCCGATGAACCCCCCGGCGCGTGTAGTCATGTCCAACCGTTACTCACGCTCCTTTTTATCTTATAACCCTAAAATGATCATGACTGACCGAAATGCTTTAGTCGAAACAACCTAAGCCGTGGTCGATAAAGGCATCAGCTGCGCAAGCTGACTGTGAGCCAATTGTCCCCTGGCGTTGGGACACTTTGTGCTGTATCGCCACAGACACGAAGGTTCAGCAACCATGTTTTTCTTGACCATGAGCACAACACAGCCAATGAGGTGGTATGTTCGTATGGCCTGGCTATGACGTCATAAATATCTGGGTGAAATTCCCATACGCGGCGCGTGATAGGCAGTACAAGTTTACGACCATCCACGTCAAAAACCAGACGATTTGAAGTCTTAGAAAGGATGTGGCTGTAACCTGCAGAGAATTATAATCCAAAAGGCAAAAACCTAACAGAAAACCCAACAGAAATGTGCTAAATAATAAACGTGAATAGTTCAAAACCCAACGGAAACGTGGAAGGGTCCCTTCAACGGGCCCGAAGCAGGACACGGCGCGTCGGTCGGACAGAGGTACATCTTCACTGTTCAGCGCCCAGGCAAGGGAAGGACCGGCCGCTACTCGGGCCACTTCCCACCGCTCGGATCAGCTCTCACCACCGCTCGGGCCGGCTCCCGCCACCACCCGGGCCGGCTCCCGCCACCACCCGGGCCAGCCCCCGCCACCGATCGGGCCAGCCCCTGCCACCACCCGGGCCGGCTCTCACCACGACCAGGGCCGGCTCCCGCCACCGTTCGCGCGCCGCCGGCCGGCCCCGCCCCACCAGACGGTGCCGGCTTGCGGCAGGCGGCCGCCATCTGAGACGGCCGCGGCCGACTGCCCGGCGGCCGGCGGCCGGCGGCCCGGCGGCCCGGCGACCCGGCGACCCGCTACAGCCTCCTCTGAATGCATGGCCCAGCCGGCGGCCAGAGGCTGTTGCTGCCGAGAACAAAGTGGAAGTTAACTGGTCTCATGACGTCGGGAATACTGAAATGCCCTCGGCGCTGAACTGGGAACTGAGGGCATGTATTGCACTCTCAAACTCATGGGTCTCATATATGCAGGCGTACATCTGCGTATGACACCGCGTGAATACGTCCTAGGCGACGATGGATAGGATTAAAATGTGTTACACCACGTTTTAGGTACAAGTGTATTTATATGAACAACCTTTTACATTGACGATACTGCACAGTCAAAAGCCCGGAACCTCGGGCCGCGCATAAAAGCGTATGAATGCCGGTCGTTTTCAATCATATATGCATCAAAGAAAGTACTATTCCATACTATATTGGTGTATGTATATATACATATATATATATATATATATGTCATAAAAAATAGTTCCTGTTATCTTAGCACCTTCTTTAGCGAAGGCCCATGTCATCCAGTGTACGGCGCCTGTTGCGAATTCTACAACTAGTTAAGACCATCCGCAGCACCGGTTCCAGCGGCGTCCCGGGTGAGACGGAAGCGGCTCGGTCCGGCTCGGGTGCCGGCCCTGCCGGTGTCAGCCGGAGCCGACGCTGGGCGGCGGCCGGCCGTCGCGCCGCACACCACCAGCCAGCAGCGTCACTGCCCTGCCTGACCGCGGAGGCGTCACGCCGTCATCAGTCGCCATCGGCTGCGGGACGAAGGGTCGGCGCCATCCCTCCCTCTCCCCCTCTAACTGAGTCACCAGTCAGCAGACCCACGGCACCACTGTGGGTCAGCTCGGGGTCTGGCGCCTCAGGTCAGGCAGGGTCAGCTCGGGTCACTGCTGACCTCGCACGTTCCTCAGTTCGGCCTGATCGACGGTAGTAA